CTATTGTGGAGGGAGGAGAAAACCCCAGATTGTGTTTCCAGGGTGTGTAAGTGGACAGGAGTCAGTGGGCAGGAATCTCTCTACCTGAGAGTTCAAAGCGGGATAGAGCCGAGTAACCGCCTGGTTAACCACCAGTTATGAGGACTTACTTTGTCAAGACTTTACATAACATTTGTTTATTTATTTTCTTCTTATGAGTCCTTCCATTTCCATTTTGACAGAACATCACAGACAGATCACTGAGATCGTGTTACATTTCAGCCAAAGCCTTTTTGGTGCCAACACTGGATATTTCCACCTTTCAGTGTTTTAAGCAGCATTCAACTTCAATATTTATCTTAAGAAGTTGCAACTACATCAGTTTGTTTTAACAGATCACAATTCAAAAGTGTGACCCATTGATCTAAGACATCATCATAAAACCTTCTTTAAAATAACACAGCTAGTCTGCTTCAGTGTGTGCAGCTGAGTATCCCACAAAATGAATGACACAAGAAATGTGATGCATTTAAAGCACACTGCAAAAGTCAAATGATTAAAAACAACAACAACAAAAAACTAGGCTACTTCCGACTAATGACCTTTTTACTTTAACTTCTACTCCAACTTCTAACCACTTTATTTCTTTATTCAAGGCAAGAGAGAAAACAGGAAACCCCTAACAGAATTAACATTTGGCTAACAGGGGGCCCCTGATGATGGATAGGCCCCAAAAGAGCCACTTTCCATATGCAGCCAGTTCCATCAGCCTATTAACAGATGGCTACACTCAAAACCATCTCTATATTCCACATACAGACATAAATCACAATATTAAACCACAAAAAGGCACATATGTTAAGAAGGAGATGGATAAAATGAATCACCCTGCCATTATAAACATCACGTGTCATCGGTCGTCGCAGCCCCCCCGACGCGGAGCCCCTGCCCTTCCTTTCCTGCTTTCTAAACCTCACTGTTGTGTTGTGGACCAGTAGTGGAGCGAGCCCTCCGCTGGAGCAGGGAGTGAGCCCGCCCCGCAGAGCAGCAGTAGCAGACCGACCGGGCTCTGCTGGTGACGGCACCAAACACACACTCAGTCCTGAGCAGAGCGGAGCAGCAGCGGCGGCGGATCTTGGACGTGTTCACGGGAGAGAAGTCGATCGTGCAACTACAGGAAAGAAAGACACAGAAGAAGAGACTGGTTTTTCTCAGGTGGTCCATGTTTGTTTTTGTGCGTTTTTTTTTTCCTTTGCAAAAAAAAGTTGTGTAGCGTCCCCACTGAAAAGAAAAGGCGACCGGATACACGCACAGAGATTGAGTTCGACTGTTGGAGGTGATTTTGCTGCACGAGCTGCTTGGAAACCTCTTGTCTAAGGTGAGTGCACCAGAGAGTGTAGTTTTGTGGCTTTGTGCTTTTTAACAAGAGGTTGAATCAAAGTTATTGACTTTGTTATGGAGCTTTTTTTTTTTTTACCCATGTGTGCGAAGAATGAGAAACTTATTTTGATGATGATGGCTGATTTTCTTTCTTCTTCTGTGCAAAAACATTCCCAGATTTGTGGACAGTGGTGTTAAAATGGAGCATATAGTTGGCCTGGAAGTTACAGTGTGCTCGGCTCAGTCTGCGTTGATGCTCTCGGTTACTGATAGTTTGACTTGTCTGAGTGATTAAAGTACTTGAGCATAATCTGTGGCTGATCCACTTGAATGCAGTGACTTAATTTTCCCAGCAGCCCGCCAGCTCCTTCGGTTTGTCTTGCACTGGATTCAGCTCTTTTACTTCAGATCTGGTATGAGAGGGAGAGAGAGTGGACTGCTCTGTTACCTCCATCCAGCTGTTTCAGTGAATGGACACATACACACACTTGCATACCATTTGATCTCCCTTGATTTCTGCAGCTTGTGTGATAAAGACAGAGAGAGGTGGGTATAGAGAGGATGAATTAGGGGAATGGGATGAAATTGGAAAGGTCACAGGCAGAGAGGGACCTTAGTGCTGCTTGTTTTATGTTCTCGAGGCCTACTTTAATATATGGATTAGTTTTGAGTTGAACTGGAAGCATCCAGGGCCTGATTGGATCATAAATAATCCCCACAGGAGTAGATATAAACGCTGAAGGAGCAGCAGCATGCCTCTCCATCTCCTTCTCATCTGTTGAGAACACCCCCTCCCCACACATACTTGATTGATGAGTTGAACTGCTGTGTTGTCCCAGCTATAAGTCTACGACCGAATGCCAACGTGAAGACAACAGCACACCACTCCACCGTGTGCACATGCATTCTTGTATAGTGTTCCCCCCCCCCCCCCCCCCCCCCACGTATGCATAGGCCAGTGGCACAAACCGCTCTGTGATGTTAAACTTGGTGCTCAGGCATCACGCCACCTCTCTGGGAGACCCTGCATCATCCTGTCCTGTCACCACTGCACAGCACAGCACAGGCAAGAGGTTGATGGAGGGACGTGGAGGAGGGCGGCAGGACACATGCAGAGAGAGAGAGAGAGAGAGAAAAGGGGGAGTTGGGGGGGATTTGGTGGTGGGAGGTGATAACCAAGCTGTCAGACGATGAGGATTGCAGCAGCTGAAGAGGCGGACAGAGGGGGTAGGAAGGGGAGGGAGGGTGCGATGCTGAGGGATCATTTTATCACATGGCTCCTTCACAGGACGAGAAGCCCTGATGAGGGGGGGCAACGTGTGAGGCAGCCGAGCAAGAGCACGACCAAAGTCATGGTAAATGTGATCTTGATATCGTCTAATCCCTAAAACAGTCCCTCTTATCTGCTCTTTTTCACCCCCCCTCCCGTCAAATCCACCAACCTCCATTCATGTTTCCATTGAGTTAACAAATTTGTGTGAGTCAAAACTAGAGCACAGCTTTAGAGGGAGGCTACAATCGCATCTGATGCACATCTGCCAGCTCGCTCTGAAGATGCTGAAACATTAAAGACACGCCTACTGTTCAAAATGTGGCAGCTTAATTCGCTCATTAGATAATCTCAGCTGAAAATAACGCACAAATGTGCACACAGGGGCCCATCTGTGCGCTCGGGAGCAACTCTTACATAAGTGAAGGAAAATCCCACACGAAGCAGCATACAGTATATCCTACAATGAGCTGATATACACAGAGGGAGAGAGAGCGCAATCTGATCCACACCTGTGACGCTCAATTAGCAAAATGCCTCTCTAGCCATCTGGGATTGAAATGATGACGAGCTGCCATTTTATTTTTGCTGCAGCAATGATGATGATGATGATGGCGTGGATTGATTGGATGTGATTAAAAGCGTGCAAGCAGCATGCAGCCATGTTTAATTCATTGCCATCCATCATGAGGTACCATGAGCCCCAAATACCTTACACAACAGAAAACTCCACCACATCCTGCTCTTATTAAAACGCCACTATAGGTATGTTTGAGAGGAGCTCACGTGAAAAGCACTATGGGACCCTGGAATTCCTCTGAGAGAACGGAGCAGATTTCAACTGAGATGTTTTCTTAGTTTTGTCTTCCTCTCTTCATGCAAACCATTTCATGTCTAAAGTTACATGTCAGACAAGCAGGTCTGTTTGATGTTGGTGGTTCGGCGGTGTCTCCGGTGTCTCCGGCGCAGTTCGTGGGAGCGATGTTGGTTCTGAGATGCAGTTTTGCCTCTGACTTCCCCTCAGCTGTGGATGTGTCGAACAGCAGGCGCGTCATTGAGATTTCCGTCAAGAGTTCCTCGCTGTCAGCCCATTAAAACGGGACAAGAGCAGGAGCACAGCAGGGGGGGAGACAATCTGTCAGTCAGACCCAACATGCACACATATGTACACGCACAGACTAACAAAGACTTGCCCTGTATATGAAACTGTAATTTGCATCTACCCTTCTCTTCCCGCGGGTAAAGGCCCATTTTGCTCTGTAAGTGCAGCAACAACATCACTATCAGCTTTTACAGAGTCACTGACTGAGACATTGTGCAACACATGAATTGAGTGCATTTTCTATTTTAAAGCTGTAAATTGTCTGTTTATTCATGCAGGGCAGCGCAGAGCGTAGAATTAGCAGCCTAAGTCATAAAGCTGAGAGTGAAATGAGTTCTCATTTTCCTGTTAGTTCAAATGAAGCACACTCACTGTATGTGGTTGACTTGTTGATGAATTTCAACGACTTGCATTCCAGAGATTTCACTGAGACTAGAAATAAACAAAGTCCTGCAGAAGACCATTCCTCATGAAGGAAACAGAGTTCATTTAGAGTTTCTTTTAGAAAAAAAAATACTCCTTTAACCGTCCACACTGTTAAAGGAGAAACATATTGCTACCACAAACACATGCCTCTAAAAGCAGTGTGTGTGTGCTCAGGCATTCACCAGGCAGCAACCCCTGAGACAGAAAAATGAAGGCAACACAGAAATACTAAAAACTGCACTTTGTCTGAGTGAGTCAGTGGCCATAGACTCTCGTGTTAAAATGTCCAACTGGACATGCTGGCTCCTGTCAAAGTCATGTTACACCCATCTTTAGTTACATGATGTGTCTGTTGATTTTACTGGAGTTGAGTTAAACTAAAATTGAAATATTGATCCAGTCTACGTACCCAGATTTTTGGCTTTATGACTTTCAAACTCCAAAATAAATTGGATATTAAACCAAATGATTTTTTTTTGTTTAGTTTTACAACACTGGATTGTTTTACTCAGTGTTATCGCAACATTATGAACCAGCATGACACAGAAATCAGTCACAGATGTGGTATTGCTTTTCGGCAGCGTATGATCTGTCTTCATTTGTTCATTTCGTCATATGAGTCTCACTCTCCTCGATGCCTCACAGGACCTTTAGCTGTTTTCCAACAGATTTCACAACTTTTTAATTGGCCCAACTGCTGCAAATCTATAACGCCTCATTTTTGCACTGAATATTTGAGGACATCTGAGGGCTTCTTTTTTAAAAGCGAGTTAATGCATTTAATAAGATTTTGACAAGTCTTACCCCAATAAGATTATTAAAGTCAGTTGCTGTGAACTTGGGGTGACAGTGGCTCAGGAGGTAGAGCAGTTGTCCAATAATCAGATGGTTGGTGGTTCGAATCCTACTCCATCCCAGTCACTGATGTAGTGTCCTCAGGCAAGACGAACTGCACCCCCCCGAATCCTTTCAGCTGAATTAATCGGTTTTTGAATTATTCCCACTTTTGAAACTGTTGCAAAAAGCAAACTGAGCCTTGAAAGCAGAAGAAACCAGGACTTCTTACTTCTCTGACCAGGTGTTTCTGACATGAATGTCAGCTGAGCTATTTCAGGTTGACTATGCTCTTTGCTAATCTCATAAATCTCCCCCAGTGAATGAATCAAGTGTTTACACTCTGACATTTTAAGTCCAGGCTTTTCAGATGCGAACATTATGTAGACTTTCCAATTACTTAATGAAAACCCTTTCATTTAGTAAGTGATTGCAGCAGAGGCCACCTACTTGTGAACTGATGATAATTATGGCGTCTGTTTAGTGCAATCAAGCTCAGTCGTTTCTGCTATGAATAGAAAAAAGAAAGGAAAAAATGAAATCCTTGCAGAGAGGGATTTTTTTTTGACTAAAGGAAGTCAGCATCGGCTTTGATGATTATGAAGCATTCCTGACTGCAGCACTTCAATTAACCGAGCGGGTATGTTACAGGCAGCTCGTTTATCAAGTCGTGGGTGGTTGTGTCATGTCTGCGGGGGGGGGGGCTTTTAGAGATACTCCAGTGATTTAGTATTGTACTTGTATAAAAGTTATGGCACTTTTGGAAGGGAAACTCTCAAGCCCACTCCAGGATAACCCTGCTGATGTTATCTGGGTTATGTTTTTTTCTTTGGAGGGGCTTTTAGAAAGCTCCTCCAGAGCTACAGAAGACATCACACAACTATTTCACAGGCCGACTTGTACCCTCGTGATATGTTCACTCACCTGTACATGTAAAATCAATACACTGCTCTTTTTAAGTTTGAGACTATGGCTCTTATCAAGCTTTGCTTTGTTTTTACCAAACCAGTCTTGCAGAATATGGAGGTATAGGTGCTGCACCATGTGTCCTGGCTTTTCATCAAGCCCAAGGTGTGGTCCTAAAAAACTCGGGTGGATCACTTATGCTCTTACTCTGTCATTGTGAAGCTGTTGTCAGCCTCAGTCTGTTATTTGCGCCCTTTGGCTTTTACAGACTTCAAAAACAATTTGCCATAAAATGCCCCATGAACTTATGCACCGCCTGCCTATTATCCTGTCTTTCTGCAGTGTCAAAGGAGACTCAACATGTTTTTTTTTTTTTTTTGCCTAAGTAGATTGCAGGCCAATTAAAATGCTGTTGGAATCTGATAGCTGAGATGGCAGGCGGAGATGGGCTCCAGAAACCCTTACAGTCTGTAAGAGGAGACAGAATCGATGCAGATTGGAGTAAGTCTGTGTATAATGGACATTAGTGGGCAGAGCTTTGGCACAGAAGACATTAGAACCAGGAGTGCTGAAGTCTGCCAACTGCTCCAAACATCCATTAGTGGGCCAATCAAACTGTGTTTGCTCAACACTTGCGTATTTGTTCACCACTGCCCCGGCAACACTGTAGAGAAACTTCTATTACTCGCTGAAATTGCAGTTTGAAGACCTCATTATGTTAGAGCGCTACAAAAATCAGCATTACTGTGTAAGGAGATATCAACCTTGGCAGTGTACAGATGCAGCAGCTGTAGTGCGAGCACCGTGATGGCATAAAGAAACAGTTTTAATCCATCTGAGCACAGCACTCTGTGTCTCTCTGAGGAGAAGGTAAAGTGGCCTCTTATGTCACAAAGCGTCACTTCACTTTTCAGGAGGTTGATGAATGAGGACCGAAATGGCCAGTGCTGAAACAGCAGACCACACACACACACACACACACACAGATTGATGGATGACACAAGCATTAGCTCCAGAGTTGAGGCTCTCTGGCTGGTGGCTGACGGATGGCTGGAGACGACCTGCAGCAGAAACAATTAGACGTTTTTATTGGTAACAGTCTGAACTCTGTAGGAAAACCCTCGCTGATCCCTTCAAATTGTTTCTGTTCACAGACATTTTTCTTCCTCTTGGTTGAAATAAGAAAAGATCCCCACCCCACCTCCACCTTCCATCCAAGTGTGAAACCCATTGATTAAGCTGTTTGTTGATTTGCGTCTATTGGAAACCTGATTTGTGCCAGCAAGGGAAGCAAAACAGGAATTATAGATCTGGGAGAAAGGCTCATTTGCCCACGCTGGTGTGGTTTAGCTGTAATTTCCTTGGGATTTTCAGTGAAGCCTCTCAGATGTGAGTTTTGTCCTTTTCAAACACTGCACGCATTCTTTCTCAGCCTGGTCTAAAACAACCACCTCAGCAGAATTGAATCAGCGAGATTTTCGGCACGTCACAGCAGCAGCTACACTGCTGAGCTAATAACATAAGCAAAGATCTGTTGACACCCTGTTGTTTGGACATGTGTCTGATTTATAGATTAGATTTCCTCCACCCTCTTGGCCAGCTTCTTCCCCTGTGTGTGTGTGTGTGTTTTGCTCGGCGGAGTGAAGCCAGCTTGGAGGATGCATCTGCCAGATGACCCTTCAGCAGAATGCGTACCACACAGCGACCCTCCCCCTTCCTGCATCAGCTGACTGGTTTGGGTTAGCTGTGGCAGGCTTGTCTCGTGTAAACTGAGAGGAGTGAAAGATTAGAAGGGGGGGGCTGGGAAGTTTCAATCATGAGAAAATGTTTACATCATATCTCTGCATACTGTATCTCTCAGTGGTGAAGCTATGGGATCAGTCCCTCCTTTTTAATTGGTGACAGATGTCTCCCCCTCGTTGTCCATGCCTCCATCCCTCTCTTTCTCATACACGCAGAGTGGGTCTCCATGTTCCCAGAATTCTTCCGGGAACCTCTGGGATGCCTTCCCAGCCGTGGTCTCGGTAACATAACTCCCACCACCCTCTGGTCCGAGCCAGCCCTCCATCTCTCAGTGGTCCCGTCACACATGGATTGTCAGGGCTCAGCTGGCCTGGAAGCTGTCTTGTGCTTATGAAACATTTGGCAGATTTTGAACAAAAGTTGCAGTTTACAAACTGATGCCGTCACTTGATTTCTGTGGGACTTGGGCTCAGTCTGATGGAGCTGAATCCTTGGAGGTGATGTGTGCCTTTGTGTCACGGTGTCTTTGTCTGCTCTGCGTTATCCTGCAGGGAATTGGTTATGGAGGATTGTGTCCATCTGCTGAGTGAGATTTCTTGGAAACGAGATACAGGGCACGGATAAAAAAGAAGAAGGACAAGGTTTGTCTTGTGGCTGATCAGCAGAAAAGTGAAATCAAGTCCTCAGCACGAGTATGTGTGTGTGTGTTTATGTGTGTGCCCAGTTGAGTTTTAAACGTACAGTAATAAACAATGAATCCTGTGTGATTCTTACACATGCACGCGTCCTCAAGCCTCCCTCAGCTTCCCTCTGCGATCTGACATTCAAAAGATGCATTGTGCCAGTGAGCCTTTGATATTCATATTGTTATTAACAGGCTGGATCAGCATGAAGCTCGCTGTGTTTGGGGTCCTAGCGTTTTTCTCCCTCTGAGGGCAGACAGAAGTAGGTCAAAGTTTAGTAGAGCGTCCTGTCTGAGCAGGAGGATTGGAGGAGGAGGAGGAGGAGGAGGAGGAGTTAAAGGGCATTGTCCATACCAGGGCCCTCAGACTTACAGCATAAATCCCATACTTTTAAAGTATGAGATTTATCAGTACAGTATATAAGTATGGGACTGATAAGTTATAAGAAGCCTTTGTGTGTGTGTGTGTATATACACTTATCCCCCTCCAGTAATCTTCTTCCTCTCACATTGCAGTGATGTGACATCAAGTGTACTATTATGATGTCAGGTTGTTGTAGGTGGTAACAGGTGGGACGCAGAGCAAACTTCTAACACCACCCATCACCCTCTTACAATCACAAACTTCTAAATTTGGTACAAGTTGGCGTTTCAGAAGTCGAATATGCTAAAACATCATCCATCGACTGTGGCCTGACAAAAATCCATTTAATAAGTAAATGATCAAACCGTTGCTTATAACATTGATTGTTTATTGATAACCTGAAAATTGCCACCATCACGTTTTCTTTTAACATCATGCAGCAGGTTTAGTGTAGTAATGGTAATGTTTGTTGTTTTGCATGTTAACATTTGCTAATCAGCACTAAACACAACGAATCATTTTAAACTGAGACTGTTAAGGTCACTCTGCTGACCTCGCTTTTGCAGCAAAACATAACTCGGCAGATTAGGATGTTTGGGTGACAGGCTGTCTTGTGATTAGGGATCGAGACAACAAGAGGTCAGACTTGGGGTCGGAGTGAGGAGAGGGGCTGGAAGAGTGAGGAGCTTAGTCGCTTTTTAATCCAGTCCAAATCCAAAATGTTGCATTATAAAGTTTGAAGACTTGCTCACAGAATGACCTGTGTCTGACAAGAGGAAGGATCTGGAATATTTGGTGTTGTTATTGTCACTGAGTGAAAACATGTCCTCTTCCTTCTTGTCCTGGTTGTGTTATGTAAGAGAGCTTTCGAAAATCTGATGTTATCATCTGAGCGGGAACGTGAAGTGGGAGGACGGGATGCAGATTTTCTGTTAGCGTCTTCATGATAGAACCATGAATTACATAAAAGCTCATCTGCTGGATCGCAAACTTCCTGCTAGTTGTCAAGCCGACCAGGATTTGCTGGTGGGCGTGGAGTTTAAAACGTAGCTCGACCCTCCCGTCAAAGATGAAATAGATAGATTAAGGTGGCGATGGAGCTGTTCTGAGTTGCTGCAGCAGAGGATGCAGAGAAAAACGGATGAAATGAAGCCAGTGTCATCACGTCTCATTTACTATGCAGGGTTGGGAGGGGATTAGCCTCACTTACGTAACTTCACCCCCCCCCTTGTAACCTGCCCATATCCCCTTCACTCTTTCCCATTCTTCTGAGATCACCAGATTGTTGTTGGTCTGTTTTTTTTTTTTGTTGTTGTTCTTGTCTTCGAGACAGAAAGAGACCAGAGATTGAGATTCAGAGAGACCACAAGGATGAGAGATGATGACGGGAGCGA